TCGATTAGCGGGGAGGGGTGATGAGGCAAATGATGCGGCAGCGACTGAGGATGGAGAGACTGAAAGTGCGAATGCGACGGCTAGTGGATCGACGGGGAGGAAGAAGAGAAAGGCTGCGAGTAAGCCCGTGTCCTTGGCCGAGCAGGAAGAGGGGGATGCGGCCGCGGATATCGAAGAAGAAGAAGAGGACGAGCTCTACAAGGAACCTACAAAGAAAAAGCCTAGGAAGACACGGAAAGGGAAAACAGCCAAATAATTAGAGGTACATGTAGAATCATCTGGTATCATATATATGCCTACTCTATCTTACAACAGCCAAACCACCTTCCGGTGTCCTCAAAGTTTCACGTTCCCTCCTTCAATACTCTTCAGATCTTCCATGGTAAACCTCCTGTAAGTGCCGTCCCTTAACCAATACAGCACATCTCCCTTCTCTTCCATGACCTGCGGATCAATTCCCTCCTTCTGCAGCTCAACCTTCTGTTGTTTGTTCGTTCCCGTCAACTGCATCTCCCTCGTTACTCTAATCCAAACAGGTACCGCAAACGCCGGTAACTCCTTCTTGACATGCTGTGCCAGCTCTTGCAATAGCTTGTCATTTACCTCGCCAACGCCTTGTTCAAAAACAATGGCTGCGCACCCAGCCCGCCCATCATGTCCAGGGACACTGACACCATAGACATTTGCCTCGGCAACCGCTGGATGCTTGCCCACGGCTTCTGAAACCTCCGCTGTAGATACGTTTTCCGCTTTCCAACGGAAGGTATCGCCAATGCGATCAACGAACCAGAACCTTCCTTCGTCGTCCCATCGCATAAGGTCGCCCGAACGGAAATAGGCATCCCCTTTCTCTTTGACATCCCTGATGATTTTCGAGTTTGTAGCTTTCTCGTTCCCATAGTAGCCCTGGAAACCGTCTTTTATATTTGCTGCGTCGAGCTTACCGAGGAGTTCGCCGTTTTCGTTGTAGTCGCTGATTTCACACAAGCCGGTGACGGGGTCGCGAAGAGGTTCTGGGGGATCGGAATTGGGATCCATGCGTACGAGGGTAAGTTTGCGCGATATGAGAAGGTTCCCCAGCGACCCGTTGCGGGCGATTGCGCCGCTGGAAAAGGAGTTTGTGGAGCGGTTGAAGAGACCACCGGGCGCTTCTGTTGCAGCGTAAAACTCGTAGATTGTTTCTATGCCGAAACGTTGTTTGAATGGCTCCCAGACATCTGGGCGTAGGCCGTTGCCAAAGGCGGCCCGTATGTTGTGTTGCTTGTCTAATGGAGAGGGCGGTGCAGAGAGAAGGTAGCGACATGTTTCGCCAACGTAGTGCAGGATTGTAGCGTGTGAGGAGCGGATTTCAGGCCAGAATGTCTTGTGCGAGAATTTCTTGGATAATGCGATTGTGCTACCGGCGCGCAGGACAGCGCATGCACCGAGGACGGAGGCTGAGCTGTGGTATAGCGGCATGGATGTGTAGACTATGTCGTTCTTGAGGGACATCCAGTTTGCGGCGAATTTGGCGCCGCCGCCGCATTTGCCCCAGGACATTACGGCGGGTTTGGGGAGGCCTGTCGTGCCGGATGTGTAGATGAGCATGGCCATGCTGCTACGCTTTTGGTCGGAGCGAGACGAGTCAGGAAGGCGCGTGGGCGGATGCGTGAGGATGGTTGAGGTCAGGGCGTCGTCGAAGAAGATGATTTCGAGGTTTCGCTGCGCGGTCAAGGGCTCGGAGACGGCGCCTGCTTCAACAGCGGCTTGGGGAGTTTGCGCCTGTTTCTTGACCGACAGTGGAACGTCCGACTGCTCTTGTTCGAAAGTGTATTTGACCTTGTCGGCGTGCTGCACACGAGTGAGGCCATGTTCGTTGAGCGCATCTTGGCTGAACTTGTCCTTGCTCTCCTGGTCCACCAGCACCAACCGCGCCGTACTCGTCTTGATCGTGTGTACCAGCGGCTTGCCCGACAGGTTGTAGTTGATGAAAGCCGGCTTCGCACCGATGCTCCAGAGTCCAAACCAGACCCACATGAAGACCTCCGAGTTCACAAAGTCCATTGCGACAATCTCATCCTTCTCCACGCCCTTGCTCTTGAGCCAGTTGCCATAGCGGAGCACCACATCGTAAGCCTGGGCATATGTCCACGTCTTTCCCTGGAATATGATCCAGGCGTGGTTTGCGCGCGAAGGGGATTTGGCATGCGCCTCGAGTTCGTAGAAGAGGTTCAGGGTGTCGCGTCGTTCTTGCAGCGCGCCGGCGATGCTGCTGCCAACGAAGGAAGAAAGTAGCGGCCAGTCGTATGTGAAGCCATGGCGACCGTTGAGGTATGCAAGACCGGCTGCTGCTGCAGGCAGGGCGAGAGGGAGAACTGGTAGTGAGACATGTTAGCGAGCTGCAGGATGCGGCGCGGTCCATGGATGATGCGAGATTACCTGACATGGCCGGCGGCCAATAGAGTTAGAGCAACTGTAAGGTAAGTGAGAGATGCTATAATGCCACAATCTGCAGAATCTGAGAAACTAGAAGAAGAGGATACATCCTCTTACTATTAATTGACCAAACTGCCGCAGCGCTCCCTGTCCTCAGCTAGTGACGTTTGACCTCACAGGCTAGTGGCACCATGGGAGCTGTGGAGCCGAGGCACATGTTAGGACACCCCCGTTGTTCCTCGAGTAAGCCTTCAACCTTCTCCCTCCTCCACGCCTTGTGGCTGCTTTCCCCTCATCGCCTAGAGATGGGCCACCTGTCGTACTCCAAGGAGAAAGCCACATCCCGTGCTCGCTTCCGTTGCGAGCGACAGGGCAAGTATGGCCTTTATCAACCGGGGTACACTGCCACCATCCTCACACAGCAGGTGAACAACGCCGACCATCTACAACTCAATGGCTGTGCCATCAAAACTGGAAGCCCATGATCGCAAAACTAAGATATCACCTGGCATCAATCATCATATAGTCCCGAGATGGACCGCCGTTTGCGGTCAGCACAACAACCATTTGCTTCAGGTAGCCTTTGTCCACTACCTCTGTACCGTGACAAAGACGCATCTTCACCGATTCGCATTCAAATGCCCTTCGCTTTCGTGACAAGATAGTCTGCCCATTTTTCACTCGAGTCGAATCGACAATCGCCTGGAAAATAGACGTCTTGGTTTGTTTGCTACACGTGCATGATTGAGCTGTCGTCTGCTAACGTGCCCAAACTAACAGCGAGCACACACTTTCTCAGATCGAATTTGCCACTTCCAGTCGCATGATGACGTTCAAGAACCAAGACCGCGGTGCCGCCGATTCTCCGGAGCTCATCGATATCGCAGATTTGGAAGAGATTACCTCAACCAGCAAAGAGGAGCCGACACAGCGGGAGGCCAACGATCGCCGACTAGCTCAGGCAATTAATTATCTTGTCAAGGAAGGAGGTAGTGATTCCCCTGCTACGTTCATGGACCGGGTTGATCGTATCGACAATTCTCTTCTCCTGCCACTTAATCAACAAGGACACAATTTCGACATTAAACTGTTCAATCGCGTACTTCACATGGTCAGTCAAGCGCAGCTTGATTTTGATAAAGCTGCCCAAGAAGATTCATCAGAAGAAGATTCGCCATCAATGTCCAATAGAGAATCATCTATGCCGAAGAGTGCAGAGGAAATACGAAAATACTATACGCCATCTGCAGCAGAAGCTCTTTACCGGAAAGGTGACGGTTTGGATGAGCCTCGCTCCAAGCCTCACATGCCAGTGCCTGCAACAGAAGGACCCACAGCAGAGAGGAGAGATGATGTGCCTAGCGAGCGCGTTTTCAAATATGGCGGTCCGGACAACGAAGTCGAAAGCTGGTACAAGGACTATCCAGCCTCGCTACCGTTTCCCGAAACCTTCCAACTGGCGCATTGGGAGAGTCTCAAAATCAACTACGATATCTCCGAATCTGGCAGACAGATGAAAGCAGAAGGCCAGATTATTGAGACCAATGTATCTTTTGATCATCCTGCTCTTCAGCAGTACAAAACACTCCCCCCATATGAGTCTGGATCGCGCTTCAAGCTTCCAAAACCTAGCGCAATCGTCGAAGAAGAGGTCAATCGGCTGGGAACACAAAAGAGCCTTGAAAAGGTCGTGCAAGATCTTAACAGGAGCAGTGACGAAGTGAACGCGGAAGGAAAATATCGATATACTCCCCGAATCTTTTTGGAGAAATTTACAGTGGGCGCTCAAGGTAAGCGATGAAATCCTTCTCAATAGTTATAAACTAACAGGAACGCAGTAGATCCGACAGCGATCCGTCACGCTGTTAACACAACACCTACGAAGGCTCGCACTAACATCATAGGTAACATTTCTCAGTGTGATTCCGCAAACAGTACTCGGAAAGGACCTGCAATTAGAACCATAACGAAGCAGACCTCCAAGCACCCTCAAAGCTCAACAAAGCACACAAATCTGGTGCCACCTACATCGAGAGCTCAAACCACATCGCCCATAGTAAGAAAGATTAATCGGGAGCGCGCAACATCGCTTGAGCGTAGCCCAAGACGTCAGAGCGGTGTCAGTACCGTGCCTCCAAGTCCTGACTCACCAACAAAGAAAATTGCCGTTCATCCACAAGTAGTCATAGAGAAGCGCGTAAGTGACCGTCCAAAAAAGCCTGCTGCTCCTGTGTCTTCCAAGCTGCAAATTGCCCCGGACTCGATCAACTTCGTCACCCAAAAGGGTACTACGAAGAAACTTACCAAGCGCAAACGCAGTATCAGTGAACGGGACTACACTGTTGATCACAAACGCTCGAAGCGTGTGAACCCCTCTGTACCGAGGAGCTCTGTTCGGACTAGAGCGCAAGGAACTTCAGATAGACCCATTCCCTTCGTGGCTGAGGAGTCTGATGAACTTGACGACTCTGGCGAAGGCGATGTCACAGAAGCTCTCAATCAAATTCCCGCCGCGGTCATTCCTGTCAAAGTCAAGACTGCCACGAAATCAAAGGTCACCATATCTAGAGCAGCGACCAAGAAAGTGACCAAGAAAGCCACTATTGCAGGCAAGGTAGTGGGTAAAGCGCAGAGAAAGGTGGTAGTGAAGGAAATAACCGACGAAGAAAACTATGCGCTCCCGATCACTCAGAAGCAGAAGACGAAGCTTGAGACAAAGGCTGGAAGTACTAGAAGTGGGTTGAGATATCTCAAGGAGTGAGTGATGGTAATCTTCAGATTTGAGATGACGTTTCACGCCGTGCGCCATGCAGGGTATGCTGGAACACGATCAGCCGCCGCATGGCCCAACTGTCTTGTAAGTTACAAACGCATCTTTTCTGAAGTTTCTTTCATTGTTTCTGGTAGTCCCATGTGCTGAGCAACACCCCCGCACATGCTGTTCCGAGCGATTAGTGGGGTATCGCGCTAGGACAAAGTCAAGTCCGGCAGCGCACGAAGAAAGAACCGCATGTCGCCAGTGGTGCCCATGGAGCGCCGATGCCATGGTGAGTAGTCTCAAATACCCCAGATTATCATGCTTGGCAACCTTCTCACACGACCTAGAACGAATCCGGCGCATTCCATCCGATCGCGTGCGAGTCCTGTCGCAACAAGAAGTCAAAGGTTCACACTATACCTTCAATCTGGGGAACATTGACTAAACGTTCACAGTGCGATCGTGAACTGCCAGTCTGCTCGCAATGTATATCTGCAGGAACCTCGTGTCGGTATCCGCCGATCAATAAAAGGTACAAGGAGAACGATTTGCATGAGACGAAGTTGACTGTTGTACTAGAGGCATCCCTTCGGGATACATATCGTTCATCGAACAGCGATTACTCGAAACTGAGTTCGTCGCACTGGAGCTTCTTTCCACCATCTACAGCTCCCAGGTACCGATCGAAACGCAACGCCTTTCTGATACAGATCGTCGGGTGTTAGCAGAAAGTGTACAAAAGCAGGCTAAGTCGAGCAGGGTAGAAGAATGGAAGCGTCATCCTCTCAACACGGACGAGGAGCGTCTATCTTGGTGGTCCAAAAGACAAGATATCTTGACGAAGGGTGTCGAAGCGAATGCTAGCTATATCTCTCAAGTCAGCCCAGCATCGACAGAGCCGTGGGTAACGGAGTCGAGTCCAGCAGTGGCACAGTATGAGGATCTACAACAATCAGCCATTGAGCGGTTGAACGTCCCACCTGCACAGCAGCCTCAGCCAACGCGATCTGCGTGGCAGGCAGTGCCAGATATACCAGAAAACATAGAACCAGCTTCAGTCACCCAAGGCCAGATTCAGGACATGGCAGGTGTTCCGCCGGTGAGGAATTTCGGAAGCGAAGGGTACCACGATGATAGGTTGGAGAGTTCGGCACCTTCAGTACAGCACACCACGGCCCTCCACTCGCGGCCATCAACCACGGAACAGTGGCGCAAGTATTTCTGAGAGCATTTGGATGTTGGCAGCGATTCCTCTGGGTCCTTAATATAGAAAGTTGAAATTGTAGAAACAAGTGCATGTAGCAAGTCAAACATGGTTCGACGGTGCATCAGCTTCCAGCCCCCCAGAACTGACTCGCACGACGCTAACGTCATTTGGCTCCATAGCTTGCTAAAGCGTCATCTTCGTCGCGCTTGCCGATGCCGAAGTCATACACACCCCAGCCTCTTCTGTTCTCATTTCACTTCGCGTCGGCCTCGGCAGACATCATCGCAGCTGCACTAGTCATAACACGGCTGCAGCTTATCTCCCAAGCTTGATGTGTTTGGGACTGCCGCATAGGTGATGGCCGAAGCCACCGTGAGGTCCAACAAGCGACAGGCTCATCACGATGAGTCGGAATCCAACACAGCGGCGCCCGATGTCGGTGCTGTGAGGAAACGCAGAGCGTTTCTTCAGACGATGGGTCAGCAGCTTCGGGAATTCGGAACTGAAGGAACGAGCCCTCAGGATCATAATCGCAACACGTTCGGCACCAGCCCTGGAAGTAACCTCAGACCTCCATCCAGCGCAGGTAATGTCGCAGCAAACCAGGCGTCCGTTCGTCATGTCGATACGCCAGAGAGTGATGCTGCGCCTGGAGAAGATGATCAGTTACCTGCAGGCGCAGCAAAAAGTGCGTCAAGATGGCTCTGGAAACTGGACGAAGTACGTCCGCTTGAATTAGAGAGCGTCACGCCGACGATTGCTTTTGACGACCTTCTCGAATGGAGCCAGTCTTACTTCGACCATTGGCATCCTGCTTTTCCGTTCCTCCACGCACCCTCACTCCTCGACTATTTTCGTCAAATAGCGCAGAGAGGCGTTCGCATCGCAGCTCAATCTACGTCAAACGAACTCCAACACATTATAGTACGCTCGATCATGTCAATATCTATCCATGATCGACGACAAATGAGCCCTGCAAGCAAAATGATGCCTGCAATCCTTGTCTTCCATTCAATCAACGATGCCATCCGGAGTGTACAATTGGTGCTAACTGAGGAAAGCTCTATTCTCTCATTACAAGCTCTTGTCAGCGTCCAATTGTTTCTGATTACGATGCACAGGTATAATGCTGCATCCCGTCTAGAAGGCTTGGCTATTCGTATGGCCTTTCAGCTAGGTCTACATCGTTGTCCGTTGCAACTACCAATACCAAGCAAAGAAGCAGAGCTAAGGAAACGACTTTTCTGGTCCGTAATCTGCATCGATAGACACATATGCATACGGCTCGGCACTCCACTAGGGATACGGTCGGATGAGGCCAATGTCTGTTATCCGCACACGGAGCAGCATACTGAATCGGAGCCTCAAACAGATGGTATGTACGCAAGGAATGAGATTCGAATGTGCCAAGGCTGATTCTTCTCTAGACCTTGAGCGCGATAACCGGCTAGACTTGCTGGACTTTCTCGCTCGACACGCTGATATTCGTGGGTCTATTATGCAAACGCGACACCAATCTATGTTACATGGTAGCACCGACGATATCGACCAAGCCCTTGAAGTAGAAGCTGAGCACACCAAATGGTGGAACACGGTCGATGAACACCTCTCCGATGACCAACAAACACAGACTATATCCAAAACACATCAAGTCACTCTCATTGTCCTTCGCTTTGAGTCGGTCCTCGCTCTACATCGCTCAGTATTAGCGACATCGAAGAAGAACGCAGCATATAATGCGGCGCTACAACGATGCGTATCAGCCTCACGCTCTATAATCAACACATTGCATAAAGCTCTCCGGGGGTTTGGAGCGTTCGATGGCTCACCTGGTCAACATGGGTATGAGAGAGCCCCTCTGCTTTGGCCCTCATTTACTTGGGCAGTGTGGATGAGTACGTTCATCATTCTATCCGCGGCTGCAGAAGAACAAGTCTCGCGCGATATCGCACTGAGGCTGTCAGATCGAAGTGTGCAAATCCTTAAGCACTTATCTTCGAGGGGTACGAGTTGGCCAGATGCATGCATCGTCGCCGTCCAGAATCTTGCTGCGCGACTGGACAAGCAATCGAATCGGGGCCCCACGAACACATCTGGAGACGGTTCGCGGACGGCAGTTCGTTCAACTCGTAACTCTTCGCTTGGATTTGGTAATGTGCCAGCTCAGCGACAAACATCAGAAGCTCGTCTGGCAAATCATACACCAATACGACCCAATCCAGTGACAGGCACAAACACTCCAGTGGGACAGTCGCAGAGATTGAACAACCAATCACATGCAGCATCTTCTTCTACAAACTTTACGAACACAGCGAACGAGCCAAGTTTCCCGAACGTCAACCTGCACCACACGGATGTGCAAGCTGTGAATAGCCTGGGAACTGACTACCTTGCGGGCGCAGGTAACTTCCTTGGTATTGCGCAACAATATTCTGATAATCCATTACCCAACGAAGAGATCATGCATCTTTTTAATGGTGAAGACATCAATTACTGGTTTGGAAACGATTCGGGAATGGCCGGCAATTCTCTTTATTATGATCAAAATTTCCATTGAGCTACTATTGGAACATATGCAAGAAAGTCAACAACTAATCAACCTGATTTCGGCGCTGTTACCTTGCCCAAAGAGGCTGACTTGAACGCAGCATGGATCTCCTGCTCCGCGCCATCCTGTAATGGCAAGAGACCACTCCGTACTGTTGCGTGCTCCAGGATACCTCTCGCCACCAGACCGTGCTTCAGTGCAACGGTTCCTTCCATGTGCGAGCCCCGATGGTAAACGTTTCTGGTGACTGGGAGCAGTCTGTCATGAACAGCCCTCGCGCGTGGGTAGTCTCGTGCCTTGCCAGCTTCAATCATCTCCAGCAGCGGCTCAGGAGCGATGTTGCCATATCCGACAAGCATGCCGTCAACATCAAAGCACGTGTGCAGCAGGTACTCGTCGTGGCATGTGAGGATTGTCAAATCGGGGTTTTGCTTCTTGATGATGGGGATTTCGACATCCCAGCGGCGCATGTTGCGGACACCGTTCTTCATAGCGATAACACCAGGTTGCGCGGCAATCTCAAGTAATGTGTCCAAGTTGTAGGTAGCCTTGGTGTTGTCGGGGTATTGGAACAAGATGAGGGGAAGTCCAGACTTCTCGTACACGGTCTTGTATCGGTCTTGTGGAGCTCCCGGTTGGTATCCGAAGCGTAGCCAACCATGGCTGGGGTAAAGCAGACCTGCCTGTGCGCCAGCAGCCTTTGCGCGTTGGGCTTCGAGCGCAGCCACTTCAGTACCCTCGGTAGTGATACCAGCGATGATGGGTATTTTGTTGTCTACGGACTTGACGAAGGCCTTGATGACGTCTACTTGCTCTTCTTGAGTCAAGAAGGTGCCCTCGCCAGCGTGTCCAAGGACCACCAGACCCTTTACGCCTGGGATACTGCCGAGCCATGAGCCAAGGCGCTGAATGGCTGCGTAGTCGACCGAGCCATCCTTGTTGAATGGGGTAACCGGCGCAGGGACGAGACCTGCTAGGTCAATTTGGGGAGCTTGCTTGATTTCAGGCATTGAACCCATTGTAGTGGTGGGAAGTATTGGTGTTGAGGTAGGAAGTGAGAGTTAACTGTGGATGAGAATGAAGTGTGTTGGTTTGCGTTTGATGATGATGAGACTTGGACTGATTACCTGCACTATATGTATTTCGCTATCCGTCGCACATGAATGCCGAGCGGCAACCGTTTGGCGATCTCACTCCCGTGTGCCACTTTGTGCTCCATCTCGAGCGCGCGTTCGGGACGCGGACTTGGGTAAGTCCGCAGTAGTCCTGCGAGAACTCACCCCGACATGCGATTTTGGACCAGTCTTGGTGTCGTACGAGTAGTATGGACTTGGATTGTTCCGATGTAGCGCCTATAGGACGCCCGATGGACGGCTAAGGTACCCCGGACTTGACTTTGTCCGAACTAGTGTCCACCAGCCGCAAGCCGCTCTCCACCCTGGAGAAGCCGACGGTTCTCACGGCCAATTATTAGGGTTTTCCACTGGACTCTTCTCAAAGGTAGCGGATGATGCGAACGCCCTCGTTTTCCCCATGTTTCCTCCGCTTCGCGACAAAGAACTTGGGGTCTGGGGAAAGTCCGGGGTCAAGCTTGGTCGTGGACTTTCTGGGCAACATTCGTCCAGCTGGGGTATATAGCAAAGACTTTCCTTGCAGTCTTCAATCATCTCGTCTTTCATCGAAAAATCAAGTTGAGCTTTGGCATATGACTTAGACATATAACCTGCACTTTTGACCACTGTCAAAGATGGCCAGCACCAACCCCAACCATTACGAGGATACCGAGAAAAACGTACCACTGCAAATCGACGATGTCGCAACATCAGAGAAGGATCTCAAAGCCCAATCTGCGCTCGATGGCGCAGATTATAGTGGTGCGATCGCGAAAACGGATCCAGCGGAGATCGCACTGGTACGCAAGCTTGACATGCGAGTAATGCCAGCACTCTTTTGCATGTATTTTCTGTACGTCACTAAGTCCTCCAAACTTCGTAAACTCATCTGTGAGAAGCTGCTGATCACGCCGGTATTAGCAACAAGCTCGACCAGAATGCGATAGCGAATGCACGACTGAACGGCCTCGAAGACGACCTTGGCCTAGTCGGAAGCCAATACAACACTTGTATATCCATCCTTTATGTCGGATACCTATTCGCTCAGATCCCCAGCAACATGCTCATGTCATCTAAGAAAGTGCGACCTTCTCTGTACATGGCCGTGTGTTGTTCAGTCTGGGGTTGTGTAGCAGCCTTGACAGCTCTTGTCAAGAACTACACTGGGTTGGTCCTGGTACGCTTCTTCCTCGGTTTTGTAGAAGCTCCATTCTACCCTGGTGCTCTGTACATCCTGAGCATGTTTTATACCCGCAAAGAGATAGCTACAAGAGTTTCTATCTTGTACGCCGGGAATATCTTTGCTGTGTCTTTTGCTGGGCTCATCGCTGCTGCCACGTTTGCAACGCTGGACGACAAGCACGGAATGCATGGATGGCAATGGTTGTTCATTATCGAGGGCATCGTCACAGTGGGCGTGTCTATCGTCTGTGCTTTCTTGCTGCCGGATGAGCCGCTGACCACGAGGTGGCTGACTCCCGAGCAACGACAACTGGCGCACGATCGCATACAAAGGGATACCGTTGGCCTGGAACAAAGCAGAGGTGTCAAAGCTGGTTTTATGCAAGCTCTGCGAGACCCAAGACTTTACCTGCTGGTCTTCATGCAGAATATGCATTTGAGCGCCACATCCTTCAACCAGGTATGTCGCATGGAACATGTCCTCAACTCTATACAACACCTGCTAACCTTACCCAGTTTTTCCCTACCGTAGTCAAGTCTTTGGGCTTCAGTACCACTATCACGTTGGTCTTGACTGCTCCACCATCGTTAGTCGCTGGTGCAGTGGGTATCGGCATCGGAATCTCATCCGGCAAATTCAACGATAGAACATGGCACATCACAGCCATGATGGGACTGGCAGTCGTCGGATTTGCGATTAGTGCTGCCACGCTCAACACCGCCGCACGCTACATCTCCTGCTTCCTTTTTGCTTCCGGTTCGTCACTCCTCTCTTCTCCAGTTCCGATTATCTACTCCCACCCACAAACTAGCAACTAACGCACGGTATTACAGGTGTTTACTCTGTCAACTCCGTCATCCTCGGATGGGTATCAGGCACGCTTGGCCAGACAGCCGAGAAGAAAGCAGTGTCACTATCCATTGTGAACGTGGTCTCCATGGCTAGCTTTATCTACACGCCTTATCTGTATCCTGCGAGCGATGGACCCAAGTATGTGATCGCTATGAGTAGCAATGCGGCATTTGCAGGAGCATGCATTGCATCAGCCTGGGCGCTTAGAGCGTGGCTTCAGGTGACGAATCGGAGGTTGAAAAGGGATGGCGTTAATGTTTTCTATGCATATTAGTTTATGTACTGTAGTCTGTACTTACGAAGTGCGACTGAGGTCGGTGTCTTATAAGGACATCTGCTATGAATCTGAACCGTATTTACTGGTGCAAAAGCATGGGATAACTCACAAGAGCGTGCCGTTTGTAAGTGTTCATGTGTAAGAGTCATGTAGATCTTCTATTATATGCGACGACCACACTGTGCAAGAATGGTATATGTAGTTTATGAAACGCTCGAAATATATTATAGATCTTAGGAAATGATCGCTGAATACAGCATCAGCGAATTACAAGGGTATCGTCGAAAATCACAAAACTATCGCCAATAAGACAAACATTAACGCCACTCAACAAGCATCCTTAGAAATCTCCACTATATCCACATCCCTCTCCAACTCTTCACTCGTATGCTCTCTCCAGAGATGATCCATCAATGACTCAATTCCCCTGCACACTGTGTCCGATTCCTTGAATCTCGCGCAAAGTACGCACGCAAAGCCTCCAGTATCTCGATGACACTTCACAATGAAGCGATTTCTGATGCGAAATGTTCGAGACGCGATCTCAACAAAACCTTGCCCTACTTTCCTACTACAGCCATCGACGACAATTTCCCAGGCTTTTCCCGGTTGGATGGTGATGTGTGTACGGCAAAAGGGGCATTTACCGTTTCCGCCGGGTTTGTAAGCATTGGCGAGGTGCAGCCGTGGGCTGAGTTGGAGGTCTTTTGCGTAGATGCAGAACAATCTGGTGCTGTACCGTGAAGATGGGGGTGGGGCCTGAGGGGGAGGAATAGGCTTTGGTTTGGGTCCTGGGACTGGTAGTATCTTGACTACCTTCTCTTCTGACTCGTTGGAGGAACTGGAGCTGCTGCTGCTCATGCGTTTCTTGTGCCGGAGAGGAGGCCTTGAAGGTGGTCGTGGGTGATCAGGTTGCGGAAATGCGCCGGGAACCTTCAACGGCGGATCAGGCCCTCGAGGGGGCAGTGGTGATGGAAGTGGCGGCAGCATGCGCTGGTACTGCATGTTCAATGAGGCGATGGAGGCCGCGCGCGTCGTCCGAGTTGCCTGGATCAGACGCACAAGATGCGAATGAGACGATGACGGTGCGAGATACGTACTAAGCAGTAGGTCTTGCTGAATGTTGAGGACTGTCTGCTGAAGCTTGATGATCTGAGATTGAAGCTGGGTATGCGTTGTAACTATTTGCTATCAATACCGGAAGGCTAGATCTTAAACGTGAACGTACCATCACCGCGCGCGAAAGGCTCTCCTAGCTTGCGATATCCGCGTTCGTATTCGGCTCGAATCTGAGAAGAGGAGGTAAAGATAAGCTCTTCTTCGCTGCCACTGTAGTCTCCCTTGCTTTTTCCCGAACCAAACATAGAGTCGCGACGACGCCTTCGCGAAGGGATCTGGATGTGAAATTTATCGTCTTCATCGTCGCTATCCTTTGCGCCGGCTTTACGCTTGAGTTTGCGATACAAGTCACTCGCAGACCCGAAAGAATCCGTCAAGGTCCGCACAAGAGACACGACCACCACAAGATCTTGTAGTAGCCCTTTGGCCTAGGCAAGTCTAATCAGCACTTGGTCTGTATTTGTGAGAAGCATTTTGACGCATACTGCCTCTATTGTTTTCTCTGTTTCTTCTCTCATGATGACGATATGAACGGAATGCAGTGTATAGGGAGTATGAGATGAGGAAGGAGAATACCAGTGAAAATGCGCACCTAAACCTTGCGCCGCAAAAGCTTACAGTCAACAGTCATTCCTATTTTGAGACACATGGTTGCTTTTTGCTCAGCTGGAAAGTTTGTGTTCGCATTTGATACATCATGAGTACTTGTTGGATTCGATGCTGAGTGGTCGCATGACTTCACCTTTGCACGTGGTGTCTGGCACTCAACGACTTGCCCAAGCTTTTTCACAACATAGGCCTATGTTATCAGGACAACCTATCGCATAGTAGATGTTGAGTATTTCGCATGGAATAAATACCGCGAGCAAGGTCGCAAGCAGCTTTTCAGTAATTTTTCAAGGTTCAGCTTCCTTAGATGATCGTTTTCGGTGTTATCTTTGGGAGGTCAGAGCATGCGCCACAGTCTTTGTCGCGTGCGCGTCGCTTCGTAAGACATTCGCATCTCATATGGTGACCATGGCATCACTCGTCAATCTAGGAGCCTATTTGTGATATTCTTGGTGTAGTTCTCCAGGGAGGCTTGAGAGTCCGCTAGAAACAACTCTGGAAGATTGGCTAGTCACGACTCATGTGGTTTTGCACGACGTCTGGTCAGATGTTCGGTGCGCCCACTTTCGATGGAGAGGTCTTTGGAAAGCCAATCCCAGAGAGAATGTGATCCAGCAGCCCTGGCTTTTGGCGCAGCATGTCCCATTCGTCTTGGTGCTTGACCATCATCGTGCCTCCCAACGTTGTACCGTTGAGAGCTGCGAAGCCGATCTCACTACCGTCATCACGACGCAGCATGGTGCCTTCAGCACGTCTCGGCAAGATGACCATGCCCGAGGTAGTCATAGCGAGGTTGTAGCTGATGGTTAGATCGCCATCGTCGGTAGGGTTTAGAGCGAAGTCGTTCGGATTCGAGGAGATGAATGTGTCGACTGCCGCTTTTGCCGCATCGTACAGATGGTTGTAGATTTCGAATAACTGAGCACCGGATGGCTCCGAGTCGAAAGGATAGGCAAAGTGCGTAAACGGCAAGGACGGGTGTTGTAAGAACTTGAGATGACCTTCTAGACAGAATATTAGCTGCTGCACAGTGCGCATCTGACAGAGACGCCTACCAGTCGCCTTGGCCACTGGGCTTGAAAAGATCAAGTCTATAAGCAGACTCCAGTCGCTAGCTTTATCGCTATCGCGCATACCCTCCACTGGCAAAAACTGCAGGTGTCTGTGGGGCTGAGATGCGCCGCTATGATCCCCAGAGTTGAAGAATGCGAGGAGACGCTTCTCGCTGTCGCCCGAGTCTGTCTGCCAAGCCTTCAGCACAGCGTAGGTTGCCTCTAGATCGTCTGGCTCTAGCGCATGTGTTTGTTTCTTGTTCGGTTTTGTAGCAAGGATAAAGTGCTCGGAGATTATGGGGAACTTGTTAAGGACGAGGAAGTGGGTGGGGTTCGCGGCGGGGATGTCAGCCAGGTGTAATGCTGGTGGGGGATTCTCGAAGGGGTCGATCTTCTGTTTCGGCGTAGCATGCTGGAGCTTCGGCAAGGGTTTCTTCGCAAGCGATGGGCAATAGCGTAGTTGGAACTGGTCGTATATAAGTCTGCTGTCGGTGGCATGGCCGGCACACGTACGGGAATGCCTGCGGATGTGCGGATGATTGCTAGCTCCGTAGGCGAGAACAACAAATCTGAAGATGCCTTTGCAGCCTCAAACTTGCGCTTCGTAATGCTAGAAAGAGCTTCAGGTAATCCGAGCAGCATTTTCATTGGTGTTGGAGTACCAGCGATGGGTGGGGTGGATGGCTGGAGCTTGAAGCTTCGAGCTCGGAGTTAGCGCGAAAGCCTAAAACTGATGTCACACTTCATGGCATCAACACTCTTTCATCATTTTCACCACATTCGCCGAACAGCATGCGTAGGCTGTCATCAGTGTTTTCTTGTGCAGTATATCATACCAGAGATATCATACCGTAAGGAAACTTGCTACAAGAAACCTTCAGAGCGACGCCATATGACCGTCCTGCTTTGCAGCCTCCCAATCTATGCCACGCTGGCTTCTTATGCCCATGAGGAACTAGAAAAATCATCTCGACAAACATTACCATCAAAACAACAATAGTACAAAGTGGTACAGTGGTGAAAGCAAAACTCTGCAAACAGTAGAATCGAAGATACCGCCCTGCGGCAATCTTCGGTGGAGATGCTGAAGACGAGTGCCCTAGGTGGCCGTCCTTGAAGGCTAATCACTGGCAACGGTATCTTGCAGCCTTGAGAGACTCCGATGCTCAAGCCTCAGATCTTCGATATCAGCAGTACTCGACGCCCATCGAGTGCACTAGACGATGAAGGTGTGTCAATGGTACCACTCGTGACCTGCAGCTATCATCCATCACTTCTGATCCGGATGGCGCTCTAGCCATCGCCTCTTGCAAGTCGCGTTGCTGAAATGATACGAGCCACCACTGTCAGCGATGAACTCTGCGACCTTCTTCCAGGCAACTTTCAGGATCTTCTGGTCCAAGCTTAACGAGTACGGATTCTGTAGGCTGCTCTCGATACGATCGAACTCTTGCTGGACGGCGTCATCCAAAAGCTCCAACTACTGGTGCGTTAGTATGCTACATATGGAGTAGAGTCTACAGGGGATAGCTTGCATCAACTTTAGTCCAGACGGGCTTTCGGACCCGATCTTTCCTCGCCTTTGTCAACGACCGATAGCGACCTCTCAGAGTGGACTCCGCAGGCTTCTCGCCCACCATCTTGAGCTTGATTTCCTTGTATGTCTCTCCTCTCCTTTTGCCCTCAATGAGCACTTGGTCGTTGTGCTCTCTCTGGGCTTGTGCACCAGCACTGCGCGGTACCTGAAACTTGTCCTGTATACGATTCTGAGTATGGGCGCTCGGGCGCGAGCCGTTCCAAGGCGTTGAGCAGTGCTGGATGGGACGAGGTCCTGATGTCGGTAATAGGCTCGTATCGCTGCTGGGATTGCTATAAATTGCAATGTTACGGGACCTGGAGGGTGCGTTCGAAGTGTCATATGACTGTTTCGCGCGGTACCAGGGAGAGTGCCCAGCGCTGCTGTTCTGTGAATGCGAGTACTCAGATCCGGACTGTTGGTCGTCGCCGAGCGGAGCAATGAGTACTAGGTCCTGCCTGCTAGAGCCATTAGACGGGACGACGGGAGTCATAACCGTGCTTGCGCTCGTCCTTGGGATTCCTGAGAGCCCAACATCACTATCGGTCTTTTGCGCAAGGAACGGCCTGCAAGGTGCCGAAAGAACAGCGTTGTTGGCCGTTACTGGGTATCCATTCCAGTTCTCGGTTGGTGAGGATTGGTCTAACATAGAAACTGGAGTGTATGTGTTCCCGAATTCATCGCTGACATAACTCTTCGGTGACGAGGACATGCTCGCACCTAGGACAGACCTGTCAATAAGCCCATGAGGCAAACCATTCAGTTCGGCAGGCACGCAAGCTCTTCGTTCATCGCCGTAGCCCTTTCCAGTCGCAGTCGGTGTAGCAAATGTTGCATTGTATACCAGAGCGTGGTTTTGATGGAAGTGCGACTCTGAATTTGGTAGGATGAAGGTTGCTGCCTGTTGAAGAGCATGGGGCCAGTCGAACGAAGTATCATATGCTCCACTCCAGTTCTGGCCGGATGAGTACGTGTGGATGCTTGGGCTGGATGTGGTCATCGGTTTCGTGTCGTCCTGTTCGATCTGTTGCATTCCCCATGGCTGAGTTTGCATGTAAGAACTCTCCTCCACGGTTGTCAGTCTAGGTACATCTCCAGCAAAGAGTCCACTTACGGCCATTGACTGCGCCATCATTCCAGTGCGGTTATGGAAGTCGAAGGTGTGGTTTGTCGGAGAAGCTTCTGGAGCATAAGGCAGACAGGGCTGAAGTTGTGCAAGAGACTGACGATAGATATATTGTTCGTCGAACTTGTAATCCTGGTGGACTTGTTGAGCGAGAGACATGAGTCCACACGCGGCATGCGCCTCTTAAAGATGTTACAATGGCCGCTAATCTTACAATATTCTTCTAGTCGACGTGAATGCGCAGTTACGCGAGGTCGTAGAGGGCGAGATACCGCAGCGGTGAAGTGGGCGTGACTGATGATTGCGGGGTGTTGTGGAGATGTCGAGGTCCACGGGTACTTTGAACATTCACGAGCGCGGCGCTCTGTCATTCGCCTAATGCAGTTGACCGCTTCACAGAATCGAGCGGTGGGACGACGGAAATCGAGCCAGTACGGAGCTCTGCCGAGCTAGGTCGACGACAGCACCGATGTTGTAATTACCAAACTTGGCGATGTGAATGACCGGCTCCAAAAAGGGAAGAGGCAAAGCTATTTCAACTATCTATACAACGCAATGGTAAGACGATGCAAGGTATCTGATCAATACGCACTATCAGTACGCTAAGTCAAAACCGATACGTGAAGTGAGTGCGGCCTTACCAGAAAATGCCACGAGATCTCCGGGAAACTATTAGCAGCCCAAAGATGGGGGGCGATGATCGCATGAACATGTACAAACACACTAGAGTATCTATCGGCGTACTCTGACTTGCGGAACGAGTATCTTGGGTAGCAGGCAAAGAAAACGCACAAGATGAACTGTCAGCTTGAATCGTGCACTAACAAGACAAAGAGCAAGGATGAAGCCGAAGCCAATTGACGGAACAGCTCCAATCACATCTGTTCTGATGTAGAGAGGTGAGGGACGTTCCCGTATGTTTATAAACTAAGACAGCCCCAGCTCCCTTGACTGAGCGATGAGACTTGCGTTTGAAGTATCGCAGCACCCATGTCTTGCTATACATTGGTACACGGGAGGGCAAGGCCTGAGCTTTCGGATAGACCCACAGTCTTTTTCAGCCTGGAAACCACACGGGAAAATGACTGGCTATCCGTATAGGCTAGATCGCTCGTCAGCTGTGCAAATATGTCGGGCATATGGAGTCATTACTGACAGCAAGCATATTTCCCATCAAGCAACAGCACTGCCATTTCGATACTGTGAAATGATCAACGTGGCTAGCTCAAAGAAGGCAAATAGCACATGCCGCACGGCTGTATAGGTCTACACCCCACTCACATCGCGGTTGATTAGGCCTATGACGGCGACTCGTCAACCGTCGAGCCGAGCAGGATTGCTTGTTCGGTGCTAGCTGAGCTGGCGAGAAATGCCCTACGTCGTCTTGTTTGGCTGACGTGCCTACGGAAGCGAACGGTTATCTGCATGACATAGCTTGGCAACAAGCGATCGTGTCTAAATCACAAGCATGCCACCAGCTAAGATGTCATGGTGTGCAGGAATGCAGATACGTATGCAATCTGATGCTATGTTGTTCGCTGGACTGACAGGAGCCTCTGGAGTACTACAGGTGTTGTCGACGATGACGCTGACGTTACACAAGAAGCTCCCCAATCAGTAAATGTAGCCATCGGAATCTCCACGGCTCCAGAGAGTCTCACCCCGACAAAGCTTTCGTCTCGGCTCATCACCACTGGTGAATACGTGAAAGCTTGTCAGTGAATCCATCAACATAGTCCCAACATCGGCTAGATGCTTTACGCACTTCAACGTACCCACGTTGGTAGAGAGCGATAACTGATACCTTTACCGATATATTCCCGACCTCTCCAATTTACTTGATACCATCGGGAGGCCGCAGTCGAGCAACCGTCTGCCCAGGCGACCGCAAGACCGTGGAACGGGTGAGACATGCGCAGCTCTGCCCTGCGAATCCTCTCGGGTGGCGCATGGTATCGCCCTGACAGGTCGCGTAGACTTTATCTTGCATACTCTTGCATAAGTCTGGAGAAGCGTGTACCCGCCTCCGGTGGCTACACCACCATGCTTCGTCGTGAGTGGTACAAATCGGCAACCGTACAGCATGCATAGCGTGTGAGGACAATGTGGTCGGAAAGACGATCCCTCAGGCTCATGCAAGGCGAGTGAGACATTTGAGCAGGGTGAGACCTCAATGAAAAAACGAGAAAGAGGTAAGAGGACTTGAGAACTGGACGACATTTTCTTGAGAGTCGCAGACCTGTCTGATGCATGTTCACAGCTATCCACCACGCGGCTTGGCGCCCCATTTCCACAATAACTACATACCGACATGCTTGCAAGCCACCCCGATAATGCCTGTCCATCAGATCTTCGCCTTCGCCTTACCCGGTGGCAACAGCTCGACGTCCTTCCATGGCAGCCCCAGGTATTCCCACATATAATGAAATCTGTATGGTAGATCTGTCAGCACGCCCCACAGCTCTTGACCATCGGTTGGTCGCGTTTCAATAGTTCGCATCACATCCTGGATATACAGCGGTACCCCCACTTCCCGTGGTGAGCGCCTTGACTGACGTGACGATGTGCATAGAGGTCCAGCCCGCTCTATGCATAGCCGGACATACGAGGATGCCAGTCAAGATACGGACAAGTGAATTTTAGTGAAGAAGACACATACCTATCACTACCAAAGAACGGCTCTTCTTCCCCCTTGGAGTTGCGTACGAAGAACCATGGGCAACCAAAAGCGCCATGGTCGAGCGCTTCCTTGGTATTGTCGTTCAGCCTCTGCTTGTACGGCGGGCTATTTGCTTTGGCCACGATCTCCTTGGCTTCGTCTGCTTTGAGACGCAGCTGAAGTACTTCTAAAAGGATCTCTGGCTTACTGACATCCTTGCCGTCCTCCCACATAGCGTGGAATATGTCAAAAAAGATGTTGATGAATTCCGCTCGATGCGCTTCCTTCACAGCACATAATGCCCGCTGTGGTAGCAGTGAGAGAATAGGGAAGAAATCCGGCGACTGTAGATTAGGAAGGCCGAATTGTTTCTTCGCTCGCGCGCTGTCGTATGCGCCGTACTTCGCTTTTGCGTCGAGGCTCCAGGGTGGCTTGTTTCCTGCACTGCGGCGTCAGGACACGTTCGGTATAGCTAGTACCGGACTTTCATGTGGAGTGCATGGAAGGGGACGGGGATACGTACCGCTGCCGACGTTGATGCCGCCTAGGAAGACGGGTACTATACTACATCAAGTCAGTGAGTATACTTGCTTTTAATGAGAGCGTGCACTGGTTGGTAGGGTTTCAGTTCGTGGTATTGGCTTTGAGAGCCGGCATGGCAATGGGTACGCACTCAATCTCTACATTGTGCGCTTCGAGGACCTGTCTGTTTCTCTCAATATGCAGTAGAGCGTAGTATGAGTATGGCGACACTAGTCCGTAATTAGCATGTGATTCTTATATCAGGAGAATGATAGGAGCATACCGCAATCCAGATAGCACGTAATTTTGCTTGACATATTCGCAATGCTTCTAGCCACAGGATGAGAAATCACGTTGAACCTGGCATTCGAAGACGTCGGTCGCGTCTTATTATGCGCGTCGTCGTTGGGGACCGCACAAGGTCTTGGTTGCCGAGGTCTGTTAGCGTAGCTACGAGAGCTCTATCACTAATCAGCACCACGCCTCCACCTCTTGAGTCGCGAATGATGCAGATACCCCGGATCCTCGCCGCGTAACTCGTACGGACGTAAATGCAGTATGATGTGCACCTACCGAGGCACCGACGATGAGGATTGATTACAATGTCATGTCTACTTAGGCTTTACAGTTGCCTGTACTGTCAGCCGCAAGCTGCTACTCTATCTACGCGACGACACCTTTGCAATTAACTGTATCCTTGTCTCCACCATGTCCAAGTCCAACAAACAAGTCGCGCTCGTCGTTGGCGCGTCTCGGGGTATCGGTCGGCAAATCGCCATCGACCTCGCAAAAGATGGCTACGCAGGTACGCATCACAACAGCCCTCGACCTCCACAGAGCAAGAGTACTAACATTGAGCTAGTCGTCGTAGCAGCGAAATCCACGTCCGATGCTTCCAAGTGTTCTCCCTTTCCACCCGACCCAAACTCCTCGGCGTCCACCATCTCTACGGTTTGTCGCGAGATCCATGAGTCAGGCGGCGAAGCCACAGCCATCACCGTTGACACACGAGACTTCACAAGCATTCAACGTATGGTGGCCGAGACAATAGAGAAACACCGCCGTCTTGATGTATTAATATACAACAGCGGCGCAATATGGTGGGCAAGCGTGGCCAAAACGCCTATGAAGCGCTTCCAGCTCATGCAACGTGTGAATGTAGAGGGCTTATATGGCGTCATACAAGCCTGTCTCCCGCACTTTGAACAAAGTGGTGGAAACTGGAAGGGTCGTATTATCATCGTCAGCCCACCGATATACTCGCGCTTCTTCCGCGGCAAGACGGCGTATGCAATGGGCAAGGTGGGCATGTCTGTTCTTACCAAGGGACTGGCAATGGATTTCCAGAGAGAGGGCAAAATTGACATGGCAGTTACGAGCATCTGGCCTGCAACGGCTGTTCAGAGTGCTGCAACGCAGAATATAGGAGGTGAAGATGCTAAGGATCTCAGGACTGCGCATATCTTCTCGGACGCAGTGTTACAGATGATCAAGGCGCCTGTGGAAGAGGTCAATGGCGAGTTGCTGCTTGATGAGGACTTTCTAAGGACGAAGGGTGTTAGCGATTTTGACAAGTACAATTTGGTGGAAGGGAGTAAACCAAGGAGAATTATGCCGACAGAGTTTCCGAACTTGCGGGTCAAGGAGCACGATGACGAGGGCAGAAGGGTTGATAGTACGAAGTTTAGAGCCTCGAAGTTATAATTCTGAGAAAGTTGGTCTCTGGATTGATACGTTGATGCATAAAGTTTTGGGTCCTTCAGCGGAATGTGACATTTTACTTCCCGAATGGATTATGATCCAGACTTAGCCATGCAGGGCCAATAATCTCAGGCGGTACCGCCTTCTTCCTGTCCAACTGCATCAAGACCTTGAGCGAAGCCTTTAGCGTAACCCTCGTAGTGGCCCTGAGAGTGTCCTTCACCCCGGCCCCTCTCATAACTCTGCTCATTTGTTTCGCCACCTTCTCTGGCTCCTTCTCCCTTGCCGGCTGCCAATCCCACCTGCCAACCATCGGACATACCAACGTTATAACCTTCTCTTCTGCCATCAGCGTGACCTTGAGCTCGACCAGCGGTATAGCTATTGTTCCATAACACTTTCTCAGCAGACGTGACCCTCTCTTTCCATATAGTTGCAGCATACACTTGACCTTCGAGGTGACCCTTTTTTACACCATCATATATTCCTGCCACATAGCCTGCTTTGCAACCCTCTTCTTGTGCTTTGGCACACTCGGCACAGATATGGGGCTCCATTGTCCTCCGGACTTCAATTTCGGTTTGCTTTTTTACTTCAGCCTTTACCCTCTCCCCTCGAGTAGAAAGCCACAGCTCTCGCAAAGCTTCGAGCTCAGTACCTTCTGATATCTGAGCCTTTTGCATACGCCACTTCTCTTGCTCTTCATCGAAGACAGCACGTTCGTCTCTCAGAGCCTGTGCAATTGTTACGTGTCTAGCAGCTGACTGTTTCAATTTTTCCGCAAACTCGTTGAGCACCCACATCTGCCTGAAGTATTCTTTAAGATACTTTTCCTTTTCCGCGTGAACGTGTGCTTGCAATTTGATAATCTTGATAGTGGGTTCGCAGTACTTCGCTTCCCATCGTTTAACTGCTTGCTCTAGTCTATTCTTGCCGGCTGCCAGATTGTTGAAATGGTGCATACCATCTTCCATCCAGTCACCTAAAGACTAAATGGCATCGTAAACGTCCGCATTAGGTCCCACGACGGGAAAGTTTCGTCTAGTCTTGAGTGTCCTGGTTCCGAGTTCCTCTTCACGCTTCTTCAGGGTCGCTGTTTTGTCTTCGATTTCCTTTGACGTCTCTTGAATCACTCGCTCTTTGACACTGACACGAATCGCGTGCTGATCTTGTCCATCTTGTAAGTCTTCGTGTTTCTCCTTCATCTCCAGAGTAATAGCAGCGAGCTTCACCTCCGCCGCTATGCGTTTCTGATCGCTATCGGCCTTTTCATTTAAAAGCTCTTGGTTGCGTTTCTCTAGCCACTGATTCCGAGCGACAAATGGTAACAATCCTGGGAAGATATCCGGTACATCGCGGCTCGGACGCGGAGGTTCGTCATGTAGAAGAGATGCTGTAGTTCCTGGAATAAATCAGTGATTTGTGCTCGTAGCTCATCAATCTCTTACTGTAAGTGTTGTAACTTACTGGAGTTTGCTGTGACAGTGTAGCTGACTCCAATAGCTGATTGGGAAGCTTCATATGCTTCTAGGATGGCCAGACTAAACGCCTGGGTCTTTGGGTCGGGCATTGTGTCCCTCACTTGCGTTTGCGAAGCTTGTATCAGGTAAGAGGAACAGGCCAAGCAGAGATATTTGGATCAGGTGAGGGTGACGACTCAAAGAAGGAGCGCGGAAATGTGAGACCCTGTGGTGCAGCAAGAGAAGAAGCAGCGATGCTTGGCGCACAGACGCGCGCGCAGTGGACACACCAACGCGTTAAACAAGAAGGCCATGCAGGCTGATGTTGATCAGAAAACATTCGTAAGACTGCAATGTTTTCAGCCATATGCAGATAATGGTGAGATAGTGGTAGGCCACCACTTCCCAGGTTTCCGTATGTTCTGGTGTGCACGCGCGGCAGATCTAGTAAGTTGACAAAAGTCCACGGGTCATTTGGGACATGTGAAATGAACATCCATACCAGGGAACATGTTGAAGGAATCCGAAAGGAAGAGAGAAGATTGACCAGAGGAGTAGGAAATGCAGCACAACAACAGACATGGTAGAAGGTAAGAGACGAAAGCACCGGAACAACGAACTGAATAGTCATGCATTAGGCTCACCCATCTCTCCTTTTCATTCACTCCATTAGACCCCCATCCCCGGAAATTACTCCTTCATGATTTGCGGAGACTTCATACCCTACTACCGAGCACTCCGTCCATCAAACCATCAATATGCCAATGCCCAGCAAACACCATGCTTGCGTTAAGAGAAAAACCAAATAGCAAAAAAGGGACGGTTCTACTAGTACATGGGAGCGCTTGTAGATGCAAGAATCAGCCATAGAGGGCCAGAGACGCTCGATTAGAGAGATCTTGTAGAAGGGTATAGACGCAGTAACATGTATGCCAGAACGATATATGCATATGCGAAACTCAAAACGATGTGATTACAATCTGCGAGACAGGAAATCGACGGTAAGTGCGGCTTGTGGAGATCTTGTTGTGACGATGCAGATGGAGTTTGCAGTCTTCATCTAATACAGGCGTCCTCGGCTGGCCTGGCTTGCTCTGCTTGGTGATGTCCGGCTCCTCTCATCTTCCTCGGGCACGTCGCTCAGTCTAGTAGGATGGTGATGTCTCATACCTACCCACTCGTCGCCGTAGCCATCGCCACTATAGTCGGGTCGTCCACCAGCGGGTTGTTGAGAAGACCCCGCGCCCGAACTGGTTGCATATCCGCCCTGAGAAGTGGCAGTTGTACCATAGTGCTGGAGATGCTCGAGCTCACGTCGGCGTGCGTCTTCTACATCGTACTCGTCTGATACTGGTGACTGAAGAGATCGGAACGGGATACGGCGGCCTGAATCATCGCGTATAAAGTTCCCTCTCTCGTCCAAGGCGTACTCGATGTCGGCTTCTGACTCTGCCTGAGAAGTGACGTACGACTGCTCGTCATCTGGAAGACCAGATTCGGACTCCTGGTGTAGATAGGAGGCAGGTTGTTGGTAAAAGGCCTCTGGCTGGGACATGGCCGGCTGTGTAGATCCCTGCTGTGCTTGAGATGTATAGTATGGGTATTGTAGAGGAGCAGGAGCTAGCGATTCGTCCGCAACCGAAGAGCCACCAGGCCGAGATGATGCGGTCGATGCTGCGCCCGAAGGAATATAAGTTCCTTGAGCTACGTGTGCAGGCTGCTCAGGCTCTCGGCGCCCATGGCGGGCACTCTCAGTGAAGGGATCGGTATCGGTTGGTGATTGACCTTCTTCGTACGAGTAGTGTTGTTCGATGCCCTCGCCACTACTCTGTGCACCAGCATAAGTATCATCTCCATGTCCCCTGCCTTGACGTCCCATGTTCTGCGCCATCGGCACCACCTGCACTCCGCCAACCAATGTAGGCTGGCCTTCCCTCAACGAGAATGTGCGATCGCGCTCTTCCTGTTCTCGCCTCCCAAGCTCTTCCCATGCTCGGCGTGCTTCTTCCTTCGAGATTTGTAGCTCACGCTTCATCTCGGACACAGCTCGTTCGGCATTCTTCTTCTCAGTGGCCATGCGCTCCATGTTCGCTTCAGCCTCAAGGCGAAGCTCGCGCTCCGAGTTCATTTGTTCAGTCAATTGCGCTTCGCGCTCCTGGGCCCTCTCCTGGTCCTGGCGATGTTCGTAGAACCATCTCTGAAATTTTCGTTCGGAAGATGCGCGCAAGCGTTGAAGTTCGACGACAGCATGGAAGAGGTTAGCACCAGCTGCCGAAAGATCAGTGATTTGCCGTGACATTTGCTGTGCCAGTGGCTCTCTGCGGACTTCATCGGTGTTTTGCTCAAGTCGCCGTATCCAGTAAGAGGTAAGGCCCTCCCAATGTGAAGATAGGGTTTCCCAGCGCTCGAACGCATGTGGAAAGTTGGATGTTGTTGACTCCCGAGCTTGTCCAGTGGACGAACCCGGCGGAGGCGGTGGTCGTGCTGCAGCAGTTGAGGGGCCTGCTTGTGATGAAGCTGTGGCGCCGGAGGGTCGCCTGGCGTGGCCTGAGCCAGCTGGTCTTCTGCTTTGTTCTGCTGTCGTTGGCAGACCTAGATTCGCCTGAGTGGGTCGAGACGGTGTTTGTGAGGCTGCTCGAGGTCTCGATTGCGATGCGCCTGTTGTGGTCTCTTGTGCTTCGTTCATGGTGTTTTGTGATGGGATTGGCCTCTCTGGTTGACGCGGCACTCCGCCCGAGGAGGTCGGGTATTGTACGTATTGGTCGCCAGATCTTAGAGGGGCTGATTGGGGCTGCCTCTGGGTCCCAGGCTCAGTTGTTGGTGCTCCAGCTACACCAGAAACAGCTTGAGCTCTTCTTTCTGCGCTGGCTCGCCTGCGCTCCTCCTCGGCGGCCTTCCTTTGTTCCTCCACTTCAGCCCGTTGTCGTCTAGCATTCATGATCTGCGTTGGCGTACGTATATTGGACCGATCGACAGGCACGGGACCGCCAGTTGTACGGGCCCCGCCGTTGGCAGCGCGGCCACTTGTCAGATCGGACATGAGGGCGTTCTCTTCGACCAGATCCGGTGTGAAGGGATGTGGAAGTCGGAGTCCCTCTTCGAGCACGAAGCGTATTGCCGAGGCAGTACGTCGACTGATGCGAAGAGCGGGATGAGGCTCAGCGTAGGGGGTTGAGTGAGGGCGAGGTGTCTCGAAGCGAACGCGCTGTTGTTGGCTCGGATCGACTGATCTGGCGCGCTCGAAGTTGGGCGTACGGCGAAGGCTGTTCGCGACGCTGCCAGTCGAACTTGATGCTCTCGAGCGATTGTGCTGCGTGCGGTAGAAGGCGTCGGCTTGCTCCTGGCGTAGCTGGAGGGAGGTTCGGTATTCGAACAGTGGCGCTGGGCCGTCGCGGTCGTGGTCTCGTGAAGATGTGTGCTGGAAGGGTAATATGTTTGCGAGCTCTGGTGGATCGCTGGACGTCACTGTGAGTCCAGGGAGTGTTACTCAGGCTCAATTGCCCTTGCGCCGTCGAGGGCACCCGACTGGGTTGGAGGAGATACCCAGCGGCTGGGTCTCTGGGGATAAGCTAAGCAGCGCGCGACGGCGTGCTTATGTTGGAATACACGAAAGCTGGCTGGTGAGTATAATGTTAGATACAGAGACTGCGGAAGGGCTAGCAGAGGAGCCATTGCTGCGGTGCGCCCCAGCAGATCCACGCGTGAGGTAGGGTGGTTGGGAAGAGGTGAAGGGCTGGGAAGGTGGCTGGGAGGCTTCGTGAAATCGACTTACACCTCTCACCGACACTCGCATAGAATAGCCAATGTGCGTGTCTGTATGCGCGATGGGCGAAGACCTATGCGCTGTGCTGTTGTCGTGGTGCTAGTCGCTGTCCAATGCCTCGAGTTCTGCTGTCAACGCCGAAGCAGACGTCACTGGACGGAAAGCTGTCCCTCAGCCCCAGCGCTCGGAAGCGCGGCGCCTGCTGCAACGCGCGGGCGGGAAGTAAAGAGTGACTGGAGAGACAGAGGGTATCGTATGAATATGCATTGAAGTCGCACGGCCTGGCAATCGCGGACCTGTCGTAGCGCTCTTGGGGCGCGAGCGGAGGTTCACCCGGGAAGCAAATACGACAAATGCTGATATTTGCTCATGTGGAGTCGCACTGACCGACGTGCAGCGAGATGCATGCAAGCGACTGCTATGAGGCCGGGATAGCAGACGTAGAGTTGGTGACGGCTACGATCGATTGCCAGCGTGCCAGCTCATCGTGCTTGTTCTGCTAACCTGGCATGGGGGCCAAGGTACAGCGCGAACCGGAAAGCGGAAAGCCCGTCGCCGTCATGACCGGCCGAACGAAGCAAGGCAGCAGAAGCCAGCAGTTCAGGATTGATTCTCAGGAAGACATGTAGTCGGAGATTCATTTGGCATACGGCCTCACTCACTGCTCCTCATCGCGGTTACCTCATCGCACCTGCCCACCGAGATGCGCCTGCCAATCAGCGGGCCATGATGCGACTTTGTGAAGAAGGAGCGGCCCGCCTCCAGCGGGTCAACACGTCACGGCATCTGCCCACGAGTCTTGTGCCTCTTCAACCCAACGACAACTTGCTGTATTAGTTTCATCTCAAGACCTGTGTCGCAACAACTCTCATCATGAAAAGTCGCTCATCGTCGTGCACAGCCAACATAGAAGACGTTTGACGTCGACCCCTGCATCCTACATACATAGCATGCAACTCCCAGCCTCGCCTATGCGCAAGACCCACGATCCTGCAGCAACGGACCAACAAGGAAACATGCTGCAGACGTAACGTCTGCTAGGCCCGCTGACGACTTGTCATCGCCAGACGTCCCTCCATTCGTGATATCCTGGAGATAAACACATCGCGCACACCGCCTCACAACACGAATCGCAAGCACGTCGGACCAAGGCGGCAGCGCGAGATCTACTGCAATGGCGCCGAGATGTCAGCAACGAAGAAGTAGCACCGATATAACATGGATGTACAATGTGTTTATTCGTGTCGATCCTAGGAAAGGGCCAGACTCGGGAGTGAGACCTAGCTACAAGGGTATTCCTGAATGTTCTTTTCCAAAGCCTCCAAACGCCAAAAGCTCCCGTGTCGT